ATAAGGACACCTTTCTAATTACTCTTTTTTCAGGGCTGTCTTCCCCAGAGCTCATCCTACTTGAGGCACTGTTCTAAATCTCTTGCCTTGTCATATCCTTTCCTTTCTAAACCCCTTCAGATGTCTCTTACTGAGCTGGGCAGAATGATTGAGCTCTTTAGAATGACATTCTCACCCCTTCAGAATCTAGCCATAGTTTATTATTCTAATCTCCAACACCTGCCATGTGTCTTTTTCACAGATATGCCTAATGCTGGCCTTATCCCCCAAATGTGCCATTAACAGTTCTACTTCTAAGTATATGATGATCTTGTTTTCATTTTCACTGGTTTCTCTACTGGTTCAACAAGGACAAACATATTCCATGTCTGCCTCAAAAATCACTCTTAGATACCACCAATGTAAATGACTTCTCCCATGTTTGGAACAAATTGGCCATGAATTCATGCTTGATGCATTACCCTTATTTGTGTCTGTTAGTCTTCCCATTCATGTTTAAATACCTCAGCTCAAGGATATTTATTTCATTTTTTAAATTTCTATCTTCTTCTGGAAAACTATCTTATGCATATTAAACATTGTGCAAAATTGTGTGGAAATGGGTTGAAGAAGATTGAGGAATGAGCTCTCTTTTTTATGTACTTGTTCAAGTAGACAATTTGAGAAACGAAGAAATTGTTTCATAAAAAGAAAAAACAAATATCATTAAAGAGAGTTGATCTTACAATTTATTGTTTTATTTTTAGGACTGAATATGTCAGAAGGTTCGAATTCTTCGAATCAACCTCATGGTACAAATAGTAGTTCTGTGGCTATTGCTATTCTTGTGCCTTTTTTTGCACTTATATTTGCAGGATTTGGATTTTATCTGTACAAACAAAGGTAAGCATTATTTATGATACTTCTATGAGCTAATTATTGGAAAAGTGCTTGAAACTTCGTCTACCTCTCATACACACCCTACACATAATTCAAGTTGTGCTGTTAAGTTTCACAAGCATTCATCAACCTTCCAGCCTTTTGCTTTTTAGTATTTGTGGCACAAAACTAATTATGAAAGATATTTTTACCTTATCCAAAATGAGGCTTCAGAAATACAAATCTTGGTTAAGGTTTGAATAACTCTGCCAAATTCATTTACAGAACTAAGAGTAACCTTATGTCTAAACTTGTTAGTTTATAATACTGACGATTTTTACTCAGGCAGATGGTACAATACTCTAATGTTCTTTTTCATCTTCTGTTGCCTTCTGAAGATTACACAATGAATATATTATGTTTGTGATTTTATCTAGTATATGGCTGCACACATTGTTATTAGGTTTTTGTTCACTCTATGAGAATACCCTGGTAAGAGCCTTTACTATACAATTCTCCATTATTTGAAATAAATCCTCATCCAGAAAACATATCTAGATAGCATTTGTTACCTAAATGCATTTTACCCAAAATCTGTGCTTTTGTGATAAATGTTAGCTCTGGTAGCTAAGTGCCTAAGGCACTTGACTGCTAACCAGAAGGCTGGAGGTTCAAACCCCCCAGCCACTCCTCAGAAAGAAGGTTGGGCAATCTACTTCCATAGAGATCCTGCCTCAGAAACCCAAGGAGAGGTTGCTGTGAGTGGGGTCTGACTCAATGGCAAATAACAACAACAAGCAAGACTGATTTATTTAATGTTACATACATTTATGATCATTGTGAATTGGCAGCTGTTTACTTCTGGCCACTTTCAGGATTTGTTAGTGGGTAAAGAAAACTCTTCACTAAATTTACTCACAAAGCAAGCTATGTCAGCCTATTCTGTATTTTACTTTTAATGATAGTTATTTTCCTTAAAGTTGTTGCTTGATATGAGCAAAGAGAAATTCTTTTGTATTCTAATGATTCTTCCATAATTAGAAGAAAATTGTGTTTCTTCTGATTTTTATTGTGAATTCTTTTTGATAAATAGACAAATACAACTATTTGGCTTATAGCAATAGATACATGCAGGAAGAGCAAGTTGTGAATCCTATATATATGAGTGATGGCATTGAAAGCAATTAAGATAGCTTATGCTTTTTTTAAAAAAAATAAAACTTACTGTCCTAGAACTAATCTAACAATCTTTGGACAAAAATTCAGAAGAATGTATTTAAGATAGTAATATATCATTTTGTTATGCATGTTGTTGTTGTTGTTATATGCCATCGAGTCGGCCCCGACTCATAGCGACCCCTTCTTGGGTTTCTGAGGCAGTATCACTACGGAAATAGATTGCCCCATCTTCCTTCCGAGGAGTGGCTGGTGGGTTTGAGCAGCCAACCTTCTGGTTAGCAGGCAAGTGTCTTAGCCACTATGCTACCAGAGCTCCTTTGTTATGTATATTATTTTGTTATACAAAAAGTTGATATACCCAAAAAAATAACTACAAACTTACTGCCCTCGAGTCAGATCCAACTCATAGTGACCCCTCTTTGGGTTTCTGAGGCAGTATCAGTACAGGAGTAGATTGCCCAGTCTTCCTTCTGATGAGGGCCTGGTGGGTTTGAAGTGCCAGGCTTCTGGTTAGCAGTCAAATGCCTTAGGCACTACGCCATTAGAGCCCCTATAGTTGATATAGTTACATATATATTTGTTATTTATAATAAGTTACAATAAAATCAATACTTGAAGTTTGTGGTATTTGATATAAACAAAGAAGTTAAAAAACACTTATTTTAATAGCCTTTTTTCAGGAATTATGTCCCAGAAATATGTTGGTATAGGTCCTACCATTCTTCACCCATGTCAGATAATTAATCAGTGATACATTAATCAGTGATACATAGGAAAGAGAAACTAGTAATGAACCTGAATCAAAGATGGGAGAACTACAAAAAGAGGCAGGAATGCAAGACTAAGCACCATGCCTAGACCTTCTGTGTCATGTGTCTCATGTCCAATTACCAATATATTTTTGGAAACTATTTTTCTTGTGAGTATCAGCATAGTTATTTCACCCATGAGATTCTAATTTTACTAGTTCTAACATATATCATAAAGAGCTCTAGCCATGCAGTGGTGAAGGCATTTGGCTACTAACCAAGTGGTTAGTGGTTTGAACCCACTAGCCACTCCATGGAAGAAAGATAAGACAGTCTGCTTCTGTAAAGATTTGCAGCCTTGGAAACTCTGTGGGGGTTGCTATGAGTTGGAATCGACTCGCAGCCAGTGAATTTGGTTTTTCGAACGTATATCATGCTTAAAATCAAATCAAATATTCATATGTTTCTGGGACACTCCCCACACCTTCCCAGCTTAAGTGTCAGCAATACCTATTTTCTATTCCTGGAATCCCCTGTTCTGTAACAATATAGAAATTCATCCTCCTTGTCCTTCAGATCATAGATTTTTATCTCTTCAGAAATGTGTTTCTTTATTACTTCTCCTAAAGTGTCAGTTACTTCCCTTTTCCTTTTCATATAATAATTCTCATTACTTACGATTTGTCTGGTTTTATTTTTTTCATTTGTTCTTGTTTTCCATTAGTACAATATAAGCACCATGAGAATAATACCTTCTTTTAAAAAAATTATATATTCAATGCCTAGAATATTGTCTGGCACATAGTAGATATATCCTCAGTAAATATTTATTGAATGGATGGATGAATAGTAATGTGATTCAAGTTCTTAATTATAATAACATATATTACAATGCATAATAAATTATCATATAATGAGAAAAATGATGGTAATATTCACAATAGCATTGATTTGTGTTTGCATTAAGGAGCACGGGCGGCACAATGGTTAAACTCCCAGCTGCTAACTGGGAGATTCATTCCTACCTGGTGGCTTCATGGCAGAAAGACGTGGAGATCTGCTTCCCCAAAGATGACAGCCTAGAAAACTCCATGGGGCAGTTCTACCCTGTCACGTGGGGTCATTCTGGGTTGAAATCAATTCAATGACACCTAAAGACAGTAAATGCTTATATTAATCATATAGGTACTGTATACAAATATACATTATATGCAAATAATAAAAGTTCCTTATGATTATAAGGTGCTAGGTAAGTTGTTCAAGCGTGCCTTACTTTGTTTATGGTTTCTCGATTCATACTTTCAAGTTACATCACTTACTAGTACGTCCTCAAGTATTTACTGTATAATTCCTACTCTGCTATTTCTCGAGGAGAATTAACACTTAGCTAATCAATGTTTTCATCCACAGGACTGCACCTAAAACACAGTATACAGGGTGTTCAGTGCATGAAAATAACAATGGCCAAGCAGCATTTGAAAATCCCATGTATGACACCAGTGCGAAGTCAGTGGAAGGAAAGGCAGTACGATTCGATCCCAACTTAAACACGGTCTGCACAATGGTATAACGCGGCAACACTTTGCCTTTTTTCAGAAGCTTGGAAATCGAAACACAAAACAGTGCACATTTAGTTCACTGCGAAACAAATTAAAGCACACTTTTCAGGACTTGCTGGGTCACCTTTTCCTGAGGAATGATAGAGAAAAGTGTTTCTTTTTTTTCTGTTTTTTTTTTTTTTTCTTCCATAAACTGGACCATAATGTTTCTTCATGGTTACCATGGAGAGTTTTACAGAAATACGGCTGCACTCTGAGAGTGCTCACTCACAATTTATTTGCTTTTTTAAAAAAGGAGATTATTCTAAAACATAAACTATTTGCATATATTGGAGGAGCATCCACTATCAGTATTTCTGTGCTTTATAAACTATATTAGAGGGACTGGGTTTTTAAAAAAAGTTATAGGGTAGAAAATAAGAGTTATACTTACAAGAGTCAATAGATCAATGACTTCTCTTTAACCATTATGAGCTACATCATGGCCATAAGTCTGTACTTCATACCACTGTATCAACTATTTTTTGTTGTTAATTGAGGTATTGTCTTCCTTATCCCCATTGCTATTTAAGATTGACTCATGCCTTTCAATGTTGATAAGCTAATTTATTCCACAAAAGAGAGAAGGTTGCTCACACCAATTTTGATTTTTTCTGTTGTTTGGCTTTTCAATGTTATATTGATATTCCACTTTTTGACTATTGTTACACTTTTAGAAAATGGCAAGGTCATTATACTGCTCTCCCAATTTCCTCGTTATGGTGTTACCAGTATTAATTATTCAGTGAATCAAGGGGTAGTGTTAACTCCTTGCTTCAACTTGTTTTGCGATCTAGAAACCACTTTGGCTGGCAAAAATTACCTATAAAATGATGATTTTACAGTTATCTGAGACACCAAAATTACCGTTCTTTATCAGACTTTCCAGTTTTCTGGAAAAAGCAAATAGTACCTATTAATCTAGCATATGGTGTACCTACTTTTCTTCCAATGCACCTTCAAATCTATTTCACATTATTTTGCCAATTCTAACTTTCATGTAAAATAAATTAGAAATATATGTGTGGCCTATCCTCTAAATATAATGACTGACAAAAAAATACTCTCCCAAATTATCAATATACATTTGTTTTCAATCATTGTGGATTTACCAAATTTCCATATATTTTAAATTTTCTATACCCTTATTCTTAACGAGCTGATTTCAGATGTGACAGGTTTGTTTCATTGTCAAAATAAGATATGTATCTGTAAGTTATTGGTGACTCATTTACAACTGGACCTTACAGTAATGCCAGCATTTTGATTTAATAGGTCATTGTCTTCCTTTTATGGCATGTTTTCCTTTGTTGAATAAAGTTCTGTACCCAGTGTGAACTCTCTGTTGTTGTCCCTTTCAAATATGGATAACTCTGTGAACAATCTCAACTTTTTGATCATGAGACAGAGTGCCTCTAAGAGAAACCGTTGCAACCAGGAACGCTGCTTGGATCTATCTCTACATTTAGTGAATTCCTTGTATACCACTTTGAGATACATTGTTCTGGAAATTCATACAATTTTCTCAACATGTACTCTAGTGACAGGATGCTGTTTTATATTTTATGCCATCAGTTATTTATTCTTGTTTATTCAAATGACTGCAATAACAATGATTCATTCATTAATGTTAAGGTTAATACATTTAAGATCTTGTTTAAACGATGTTTCTTCTGCAACTGGCTACTCCTCTTATATTAATGCATACACTTTTGTAAAGAAGTATATTTTTATGAAAAAAAAAACTTTGTAAAAGTATGATGTAAATTTTCAGTGCAATGTAAACAAAATAAAAATGAATAATTGCTTTTGTAAAGCGTGTATTCTTTTCTAAATTAATGGCAATTGTATTGAGTAGTAGAAGGAATGAACAGTCCCCTTTACTTTGGTGATTTTAAAATACCCAAACTGCATATTGTATGTACTTAGTTGTTGCTGTTAGGTGGTATCAAGTCACCTCTGACCATGGTGACCCTGTGGACAACAGAACAAAACACTGCCCAGTCCTGTGCCAAGACTCACAATCCTTGCTGTACCTGAGCCTTTGTTGCAGCCACTGTGTAATCTACCTTGTTGGGGGCCTTCCCTTTTTTTATTAACCCTCCACTTACAAAGCATGATATCTTTCTTCAGAGAATGGTCCCTTCTGACACCATGACCAAAGTAGGTGAGATGAAGTCTGGTCATTCTCGCTTCCAAGGAGCATCCCAGCCGTACTTCTTACAGGACAGATTTGTTAGTTCTTTTAGCAGTCCATGGTACTTTCAGTATTCTTCTTCTTCTGCTAAGGGAGAAGAACTTGTCTGTTAGTTTGTTGTACTGTGAAGACTTGGAAGAAAGAAGAGGCCATCCACATTTCAAAGAATTGGCCAGTGAAAACTTATATTTAGTTCCAAACCAAAGCAAACGCACAGCCATCGAGTAGGATCCTACTCATAGTGACCCCTCTTTGGGTCATAGTGACCCCTCTTTGGGTTTCTGAGTCAGTATCACTACGGAAGTAGATTGCCCCATCTTCCTTCCGAGGAGTGGCTAGTGGGTTTGAACTACCAGTCCTCTGGTTAGCAGTCAAATATCTTAGGCACTATGCCACCAGAGTTCCCTATACTTAGCAACATAATAATTAAATATTGGAGTTTTTCTTCTTTATATCCTGTAGTTCCCCAAGTGTGGCACTCTTTTACAGGCAAATACATTCCCGGTAAGAATAATAGTCCCTGGATGCTACAAACAATTAAGTGCTAGGCTGCTAAGAAGGTTGGTGGTTGAAATCCCACCCGGAGAAGCCTCATGAAGAAGGCCTGCTGCCCTGCTTCCGAAAGGTCACAGCCATGAGGACCCTTGGGAGAGCAGTTCTACTCTGAAACAATTGCAGTCATCGTGAGTCATCATTGATACCGTGGCACTTTTTTCCTTTTTATTTATTTATTTTTTTGTTTAACATAATAATGCCATATGACCTCACCTTAGAATTTTTCTTAACTGTAAATATCTTAATAATGCCATCTAAATTTAAATATATTGGACAGTTTGCAACAGTTCTGAAGTACAGTTTCATAGAGATATTTATGTTTAACATACTTCATGTTTGAATTCAATCATGATTTTGAATAGCTGCATTAAACTAATATTCAGAAATAATTTGATCTTTGCCAGGATGTAGGATTTTCATAACTAAATATGATAGGTAAACTTTTGTTCTCAAGTGAGTTATAAAGTTTCTATAAAGGTCAAATCATAAATTATTTAAATTTAATGTTTTAGGAAACTCATTCCACAAAATCGGTTGCCTTTGCATCTCAGGACCTCAAACTCCAACCTTTCTACAATCTATTGCTGTTTATTACATTTAATTTCAGAAGCATATGCTTGTTACTGTAAGTGCAGTCTCTTTGTTAATGTGTTAACTTGGATTACCTCCACTTTCTGTTCTTTCTCACTTCAATCTCCTATATTTGACTCTGCTCTGTTTTATTTTTTTCCTTCTTATGTTGTTCTCAATGTTTAGTTATGCGTTCTTATACTTTTCCATATATTCTTTCCTTTTCTACATATCTTCTCATTTTTAGCCATTATTTCCTTTTCTGTTGTTGTTGATGACATCCTTATCCATTCTTTAACCTTACTCCTCTCAGAAGATAGCAGCAGTTTTAGAGGAAGTGATTTTCAGAGCCTTGCTGTACTTCCTTTATACTTAAGGACATAAGACATGGGTTCTGCCTACAATCTCTTGATACCAGAGCCTAATGACAATGATTGTGGAAATAGGCCAAGGATGAAATTTATTTTATCTATCCTGTTCTCTTACAAGTGAGTGAAAAAGAGACACAGAATTTAGAAGAGTCATTAAAAATATTTTATATGTTCTTTAAAGGAATATGAAAGTGTATTAATCCACAAATATCTATAAAGTTAAAACAGTTATAGTTTAGTAAAGTTGAAAAATCTCTTATATAGCATGACAGAAGCACATGTGGGGAAGAAATAATTTAGAATGGGTAGTTGGAAAATTCAGCTAAAGCAATATTGATTTCCTTTTTTTCTCTTTAAGGATGACTTTGGTGGTAAGAGATTATTGATCTGAGATGATATACATGTAAAATGTGAAAAATATCTTTCTGTCATCACTTTTATGAGCTTCTTGTTCTAAAATAATTTAAGAACAGATTTAAAAGTTCCTGGGGAATAGAAATGGCCACTGGACATTACATTTCAATCTTTAGTACACAAAGAAATGGAACTAGTGGATATCTGCCAGATGTGTTCCCAACTTTTATTAAGTTCTCAAGTGTGAGCATTTTATTAGTCTTAATATTGAGTATATTCCATACATTAAAAGTTATAGCAATACAATGTATTGCAAAACATAAAGCAAGAAATCTATGTGCAAACTCTCACAAGATCCAAACCTTGCTTGTACACATTAGCATGCTTATGAAAATAGGGATGAACAAGTGGATTTTGGCAGGACCAATGAGGTAAATAGATGTAGATAGGAAAACAGAGCCAGCAATAAGGTGCAAATCATAAGGAGCAAAAAGGTCTTTGTCTCACCAAGTATTTTCTTCTTATCTTTGAGTTAAGATCTTGTATCTTGTGAAGGAACATATTAGAAAGAATATGTTATCTGCAGAATATTATATAACAGCATTGTAATCTCTAAAACAAATTAACACTTAACTATGACAGAGAAAGTTAGTAGAGCAAGTGTGCCTAAGCTGTTTATTTTTAAACCAGGTTTTTTTTTGAGTCTATGACTCCTTCTTAGAACAATAAGAAGTACATAAAATGAAATAAAAGGAAATTATTCATTGAACAGTTACAAAATATTTACTAAAATAAATATATATATGTTGTTGTTAGGTGCTGTCGAGTTGTCTCTGACTCATAGCGACCTTATGCACAACAGAACGAAACACTGCCTGGTTGAACTTTTCTTCTATCAGAAGAACTTTTCTTCTGTCTTCCTTAC